AGTGACAGCAATAGCCAAGTCCCTGGCCTCACTGAAGCTTGCCCTCTAGTTGGGGGGAGAAGAGGATGAACACAGTGAGTAAGTAAACTACATAGCATGCTGGAAAGTGCTTCTGAGGAAGAAGGAAAGCAGAGAAAGCGGTAAGAGATGCTGCAATGTCAAACCATTGGACGTTGCAAGACTCATTGAAGGAGATGAGAGTGTGAGCCATGCAGAAACCTGGGAACGAGTGGAAAAGATGGCACAGCTAAGGCAAAGCTCTGCCCTGGAAGCGGGGGAGCATAGCTGGCATGTCCCAGGCAGGATGGAGGCCGGGAAGGGGAGGAGAGAGGAGGTGGGGCCAGAGGGTCAGGGGAGGGAGAAGGCAGACTGTGAATGAACTGATGGGACCAGTGACCGCAGGCTTCTGGTCCTGAGCAGTTGTTCTTTCTCTAGGCAGCCAGGCTGCCCTTGGCAGATGTCAATGCCTGGCGCATAGTAGGTGCTCAGTAAATCTCAGGGTCAGGGAGTGTGCAGACAGTTCAGAGCTGGGTGGTGAGGAAACGAGTCGTCCAGGATGACAGTGAGGATTTTGTTTTCAGCAGCTAGATGGACAGGGAAGCCATCCAGTGAGATGCAATAGGATTGGAGAGGAATAGGGGTGTTCTCAAGCCTTTCTTTATTATGAAGAAAATTAACCATACAGGAAAGTCAAGAGAATAATGTAATAAATTTCCATATACCCACTTAGATTTAACAGTTATTAATATTTGGCCTTACTTGATTTACATATATTTTTCTATTTTCATTTAAAATTTTTATTTGAAAAAATATCTTTTCAATTGACTTCAGAGAGGAAGGGAGAGGGAGAGAGAGATAGAAACATCAATGATGAGAATCACTGATTGGCTGCTTGGGGATTGAGCACGAAACCCAGGCATGTACCCTGACCGGGAATCGAACCATGACCTCCTGCTTCGTAGGTCGATGCTCAACCACTGAGCCATGCCGGCTGGGCTAAAAATTTTCAATTAGAGTTGACATTTAATATTATATCAGTTTCAGGTGTGCAGCATTTACATACCTTACGAAGGGATCCCCCTGAAAAGTCGAGTACCCAGCTGGCACCATCTACAGTTATTACAGTATTATTGACTATATTCCCTGTGCTGTGATCTACATTCCTGTGACTATTTTGTAATTGCTAATTTATACTTTTAATCCCTGAAGTGTCGTGATATAAAATGATAGACATCATGATATTTTTACCCCAAAGTAGTTTAGTATGCATCTCGGGGTGGGGGCAGGGGGAGGACATTTTCTTATATAAGGACCCTTTCATACATAATCACAAAACTATTACCACACACACCATAATGAGCTACTTAATTTATCTTAAATTTCTGTGCTTATCCTGTGCCCTCGGTGCCTTTGAACTGGAACAGAAACAGGAGCCACACGTGGCAGTGGTTAGCGTGTCTCTTAAGTCTCTTTTGGTAGAAAATTCCTAGCCTTCCCTTTATTTCCCATCATTTATTGAAGAAGCCAGATTAACTGCCTGGTAGAATGTTCCATCTCACTGTCTCATTGCTTCCTCAAGGAGTCCTGTCATTGTTCCCTTATCTCTTTTTCTCCCTGTGAACTGCAATTTGAATAAGGACGCGGGTAGATGTAGGTGGCCCACTTTTGGTAAGAATGTTACGCGAGCACTGCTGTTGTCAACGTCAGAAACATTCAAACCCATAGAGAGTTTTTGTGAATTTATTTGAGCCAAACTGTTGACAATTGCCGGGAAGCAAAATGTCAAGGGATTGAGAGAATGCTCTGGAGAATGGCAGTTTTGCACCTTATTTTATATATCACGGTCAAAAGAGGAGACATATGTAGGTTACAAGAAATCCATCGGTGATAGGTTAGGGGGGCGGGAGAAAGCAGAGGGGAAACATCTGGGAGTGGGTAAAAGGTAAAATGACAGACTTCTTTCACTAGATGGGTATAGAATAGCTAACAGTCAACAATGGACTCAATAACCCTGAGGGGGTTTGTGGTCTCCCTAGAGCGGTGCCTGTGCTTCGAGGGGTCCGGAAAAAGGAAAATTACTTTGCAAAAAGACAATAGACAGGCTCAGCTGAGGTAAAGATTAACCTTTGTCAGGAAAGACGCTGGCCCAGGGCGTGACTACCCACTATAAACGATTTGTAGTTTAAAAGCTTTCATTTCAGGCCGTCCTTTGTGGCTAGTTTAGGTCTCAGTTTGTAAGGCCTCCCCGAGCGTGTCAGGTTCAGTACGTGGCCCCTTTCCGTCCACACCGTGTTCTTCATATTCCATCATATCAGGTGGTTGAGGGAGTGACCACCGGATCCCTCGGTTTTAGGGCTTGTGTTTTTCCTTTCATGGTGCCTGGGAACATTCAGTTCTGCAGTGACATTCACTGTGATGGTTTTAGCATCCGTTGCTGTTTGTTGCCTGGATCAACTCATTCATTTTTACTCTAATAAAATGGCCATTTCCAAGTACCCTTATTCCCGCTACAATTATGAGCTGAGAATTTTCTAAAGGGAAGACCTTTCCCTCATCGTTTGGGACTAGGCGGTTACTTTGAAATACAGTTCCTGAAGGAAAGGCCGAGTAAGCACTTTTTCCTTCTTTAGTTACCACTTTTCAGAGTAAGGAGTGGCGGTGATGGCTGCCTCGCGTGGTCACACTGACAGGTTTGCTTTGCTTCCTCGTTTCGGGGCATCGTTATGAAAGCGTGGATTTTCTTTATATCTAGTGCTCTTCGGTCGATCGCTATCATTGTTCTTTTTGATGTTCATATTCCCTCAACTCTCGTCCGTGGAATTCCCTTCAGTCAGCGCCTGTGTCCTTGGACGGCATTAATTTAGTCTTGGGAAGTGTTTCGCTTTCTGGCACAGGAAACTGTCCCAGGCTCCTTTTCTATACTCCTTGTCTCAGACCTGGAATCGGCCATTTCTTTGGGTTCTTTTTAGTCGAAAATGGTATTTAAAGGCAAAATGTGGGCTCTCAGGGTGCTCATGGCTGCTGGGTTGTCATTGCTTCTAAACCTTTTCAGTTGCCAGGGTGTTTTCTAGTGATGCTTTCAGTTCAAGTCTAATGTTTCTGGACTTTCCCTAACTTATTTTATTTTTTTAAAATATATTTTATTGATTTTTTACAGAGAGGAAGGGAGAGATAGAGAGTTAGAAACATCGATGAGAGAGAAACATCGATCAGCTGCCTCCAGCACACTCCTTACTGGGGATGTGCCCGCAACCAAGGTACATGTCCTTGACTGGAATCGAACCTGGGACCCTTGAGTCCGCAGGCCGACGCTCTATCCACTGAGCCAAACCAGTTAGGGCTCCCTAACTTATTTTAAACGCAATTCTCTTTTCTCTTAGACTAAAAATCTTTGTTTCTAACAACACAATTAAGTGTTTACTTTATCCTACAAAATACATAAAATAGTTTCAACAGACAATACCAATATTATTTTTTTAAAAAAGCTGAAGGAAATTTAAGATTTCCTTTCCCTTTTTTGTCTTATATACATCCCACTATGGATGAACTGTCCAAGTATATGTTGTAAGTTCATTTGAAAATTTTTTTTCTGTGTAGTTTATACTAATGTAGTATAATGCAATATAATGTATTATAGTGCAACCATATTATATTGCATTATGTTACATATAGCATTATTTATATATATATGTAACATTAATGTATTTTATTATAATAATATTTATATAAAAGCCTAAGTGACTGACTGTTCAACCATCCAACTGGAACTATGATGCACACTGACCAGGGTAGAGGCCTGGTGCACGGATTTGTGCACTGGTGGGGTCCCTTGGCCTGGCCTACAGGGATCGGGCCAAAACCGGATCTTTGACATCCCGTGAGGGGTCCCGGATTACGAGAGGGCAGTTCTCGGGTGACCCCTGGAATCGGGGTCCCTTCTCTCTGGTTCTAGGTGCGTCATCCAAGAATCGCAGCTGCCAAGTCATCGCAGCTCTGCAGCTCCTGCGTTGAGCATCTGCCATCTGGTGGTCATTGCGTGTCATAGCTACTGGTCGGATGGTCAAATGGTCAGATGGTCACTTCGGCTTTTATATATAAAAGAGGCCTGGTGCACATATTCATGCCCTGGTGGGGTCCCTCGGCCTGGCCTGTGGGGATCAGTGGATTTCAGCGCCGTCACAGCCTGGCCTTACCCACCAGCTCGTCGGCTCCAGCCCGCTGTCTGCTTCGATCCCACACAGCACAAAGTAGTGCCCAAAGCAGCAGGTGGCCAGGGAGGAGCCCGTGCCCGGGCCGGACGCCGTGCCCGATGCCGTGCTGTCCCACTCCGCTCATCCCAGCCCCACTGCGCCTACCGCCACCGCCGCTCGGTAGGCTCACTGCTGCTCCACTGTGCTGCGGTCTCTACGCACCTGTCCTAGGGTGACCAGCGCACTCATGACCACGCAGCTGCCACTTGTCATAGCAGCCTCGCTCCTCGCGTGGCGTGAGAAGCAGCTGCAGGCTTACGCCCAGTGAGTCCCAATGCCAGGACCGGGAACCATGAGCCCAGCGCCCGTTAGTCAGCTGAGCAGGGCTCCCTCTGTGGGAGTGCACTGACCACCATGGGGTAGCTCCTGCATCGAGTGCCTGCCCCCTGGTGGTCAGTATGCGTCATAGCTACCAGTTGACTGGTTGCGTAGGCTTTTATATATAGATAATAATTATAGTTATCATAATTAATTATAATATAACTAGAGGCCCAACGCATGAAATTCGTGCCAGAGTAGGCCTTCCTTCCCCCAGCTGCCGGCATCAGCTTCCCTTTGGCACCTGGGACCCGGGCTTCCCTCTCAACCCTGGCTTTGTCCGGAAGGTTGTCCGGAAGGACGTCTGGAAGGATGTCCAGTCTAATTAGCATATTATGCTTTTATTATTATAGATAATATGATATGCATTTAGGATGCTTTATTTCTATTTTCTGTTTTTAGGGTTTTTGTTTTTTTTCTCACCCGAGTAGTATATTTTTCCATTGATTTTTAGAGAAAGTGGAAGAGAGAGGGAAAGACAGAGAGAAATATCAATGTGAGAGAAACACATTGATTGGTTGCCTCCTGCACATACCCCGACCAGGTTTCAGGCCGGAGAGGAGCCTGCAACCGAGGTACGTGTCCTTGACTGGACTCGAACTCAGGATCCACAGAGCCAAACTGGCTAGGGCTGTCTTTAGGGTGTCGTGTGTTTTTTTTTTTTAATTTTTTTGAAACTAGAACATTTACATGACTTCAAATTAAAAGTACACTGTTAGGAACAGGTTTCTGTTGGGGTTATTGAGAGTTCTTTTGGTCATATTAACTCAGAGATGCCTGAGGATGAACAGAGAAACGGGGCTGTAGCTGAAGGAGACATGAGTCAAAAGAAGATTGTTGGATTTTTATTTTTTTTCTTTTAAATGAGGTGAGAAAAGCTGATGGGATTTGTTCCCGAGCCCGAGGAGGGGCTCAGGTTTGATAGGAGCGGGGAGCCCT